AAAAAACACAATAATCACAATGATATGGTTTTACTGGTATTTAAATTCCTCAAAGAGCATTTTTCCTACTAAACACTAATTATTCAATCAATGAAATGAAACATATGTATATCATACATATGTGATATGTATGATACATATGTGTGATGTAATAATAACTTTATCAAAGCCAGTCTGTAAAGTTCAGTGTTATGCTGATAAACATCTGGAAATCCTGTTGCAAAACGAAGGAAGAAATAGAAAAAAGTGAGGAACAGAAACTTTGAATTAAAACGTCAGCACAGATCAGTTCGGACAGAAGAGAGAACAAGAACAAGACAAAAATAGGTAAAGATGGTTTTCAAGTTTATACTTTAAACTGCAGATGAACCATATTTTGTTATATTATTTAACCAGTTTTTATCTTATTTATTTTATACTAAACTATTATTGATCTCACTGCTGTAATAACTATGAGTTAACTGTGTATAATACATTGATACAGATAACATAAAACTGTCCTGTTAAGTGCTTAACTATATAAAGATTAAGTCTTTGGAGCAGCCGTAGTCCTCGGTAAAGGATGTGCACATCATAATTACAACATAAATAAGCATGTGACATAAGATGTGACTTTCATGAGATGTGTGACTGTAGCTGGAGTCTTTCCTTTGATGTAATTTCTGAATGTTTATTTTTAGCATTAATACAAATTTGTCCAGTGGAGGAAGAGACTGAACGTGTCGAGCATCGGATATCAAGCATGTCTGTCCTCATCTTGGCAGCTCTGCTTTCCTCTGTGACATGTAGCAGTGCTGACATAAGTTTGTATCTTCTTCTAAGTAACCTCCTAATTCAGCTGATATTCAATAATCTTTTAACATTTGCATATAAAACTGTTTCATAACATGTATCCAGATTATAAATGATCTATTATCAACCAGAATTTATGATAATTTAGTATTATTACTGTCTCAAGTAGTAATGTATCAAGGATCAGACATGATCTTTTACTGTTTGAAACTAAAAACTGTCTATTTTTTTATATTTCCCTTGCATTAATAGGTGCCTCTGCCTGGGGACGACAACACTGCGTCAGTGGATACTGTGTCACTCTCAATGACGGAGAAGTAACAGTAGAGGCTGGGCTCTGTGTTGTGATCCCGTGTTCTTATAGGACTGGTGATGGCTTTACACCTAAACATATAGCTTGGTATAAATGTGAAGTATCTGAACCAAGATGTGGTAATCCTATCATGATATTTCACACCAACAACAGCATTAAAGTTCAATCTGGGTTTAAAGCACGAGTGTCCTTTTTGGAGCCTGATCTGAGCCAGAACAACTGCAGCTTCTTCATTAATAAGCTAAAACAGTCTGATTCTGGATCATATCACCTCAGAGTTATTGGTGAACTGAATGGAAAACCTGATGGATTTTCATTCTCTCCAAGAGTGACTGTTTATGTAAAAGGTATGAAAATGTAGACTAAAACAAAAACATGCTTGAAGTCTTAAACACCCAAAATGTATAACCAAAAATCACAAATGAATTGTTTCCATTAGGTTTTAAGCTGAAGCCCACAGTAATGATTCCCACACTGACTGAGGGACAGCAGGCCACACTGACCTGCACTGCTCCTGGTCTCTGCTCTGGATCTGTTCCTCAAATCACCTGGACATGGAGAGGAGCAGGAGGGACTGAATCTTACATTACAGGAAACAGCACTGATTACAAGACTGAGAATCTGACTGATGTAACACAGAGTCCTGTCTCAACTTTGACCTTTAACCCATCAGCTAAACATCACAACACGAACGTCACCTGTAAGATCAGTTTTACAGGAGAAACAATTACAGAAGAGACTTCAACCTTGAATGTGAACTGTGAGTACTTTGCTACAAACATAAAATGTTGTGAACCTTGTTGAATTGTACAACTTTTGGGGAGGAAAATGTAAGGAAGTTATTTTTTTTTTTTTGTCTTTTTGACTCATAGACTTGAAAGAAGTTAAAATAAGTGGTGTTACAAGGGTGAAGGAGCATGAATCACTGAATCTGACCTGCAGTGTTGAAAGTTTCCCTCTATCTCTGATTAGGTGGTCCAGACTTAGTTCTGACACAAACCTGCAAAGTGATTTGAGATCAGCAACATTTATAATCCTAAATGCAACAACAAAACATGCTGGACAGTATGTTTGTATGGCTCAATATATGAACAATACTCTGAAGGAGAAAGTCACTGTAAGGGTGATGTGTAAGTTCACAATTTTGTGCTTTTAAAGAAAAAACATTTTTTTTAAACGGTCTTCTGAAAAAGAGACAGCACTACTTTCATAAAGAACATTCCTGGAAAATGAATATAGTTATAGAAATGGAAACATTGTAAATATTGTGTGTATATTCAAGAGAAAACCTCCAGTGAGATTCTACAATAATCTAATTGTCCTTTAAATGCTGATTGATAGAAAAAAACTGTGCACATGTTAAAGACACTGTATCAGTTTAGTTTGTTGTTAACATTAGCATCTACAATTTAGTGCAGAAGCTCACTCATATTTTTGTGGTAAATGGTTATATGTTATTGTCTCCTTCCTTAAATAAACCAAGTAAATGTGCTGCACAGATTACAGGAAACCTCAGATTGCTGGGAGAACGGTCGTTAAAGAGGGAGATGTTCTGAATCTAACCTGCGGTATTGAAAGTTTTCCTCCAGCTCTTATTGTTTGGAAAATGTTGACTTCCAATATAAATCCTTACAATGGAACTAACACTGATCTGTACAATGACACTGGATCAGCTACACTTGTTATCCAGAATGTGGCAGCAGAACATTCTGGACAATATGTCTGTGCAGCAAAACATCTGGATACAGTTCTGACTGTAAATGTCAGCGTAACTGTGACTTGTAAGTAGACGGCAATAATCTTCTCAAATCTGCAGTTCACTAATACACATACGTTTATAAACCTGACAGTTAGTCAGCTTCGGTATTGTTTTTGATAGATGAAAGACCATTTTACCTCTTTTTGGTGTTTCAGTGACTATAGTGGCGAGCACTATTAGAGAAAAATAAAGCCAAAACAGAAAATTTCCCTCAGTGTGAAAAATATTGGATGCCATCACTGTATGGATCAAAGGTTATTTTTTAATGGGTTTTTTTAGTATTACATTCATTGTTTCATCCCACTTTACTTGTGTGTCCCACAGATAAAAGGAAACTTCAGATCACTGGCGATACAACTGTAGAAGAAGAAAATGTTCTGAATATGACCTGCAGTATTGAAAGTTTCCCTCCAGCTCTTATTGTGTGGAAAAAAATGAGTACGAACACAAACCTTCATAGTGGAACTTACCTGTATAATGACACTGGATCAGCTACACTTACCATTCCAAATGTGACAGCACAGCATTCTGGACAGTACATCTGTACAGCAAAACATCTGAATACCACCGTGACTTCTTATGTTAGTGTAACTGTGACTTGTAAGTAGACAGTACTAATCTTCTAGTAAAGTTTAGAATTTCACATAATTGTATAAACATGATAGGTAGCCAAAAACCTTGATCTGTATTGTTACAGTAAGCCTGTTTTAAATGTCATGACATAAAGCTAAAGGTGGGTAAGAAAATAGAAATACATTTTCAAAAATAAAACAATAGTTATCAGGCCACAATGCACTGCCAGAGCAGCTACTGTACAATTTGGCATTGTTTCTCTGGAAAACTACTGGAGCAATGGAACAGTTTTTTGAAAGACATTCCCTCTTTTGGTGTTAAATTTATATTAAAATATTTTTGTTTTAGCCATTTCATCCTTTCTTTATTAAATAAATTACTAAAATGTGTTTCACAGATTCAAGGCAACCTCTGATCAATGGGAATACAACTGTTAAAGAGGGAGATGTTCTGAATTTGACCTGCAGTGTGGACAGTATCCCTCCAGCTCTTATTGTGTGGAAAGATCCTATCTCCAACACAAACCTTCATATTGGAACTTACACTGATCTGTACAATGATACTGGATCAGCTACACTTGTCATTCAGAATGTGACAGCAGAAGATTCTGGACAGTACATCTGTTCAGCAAAACATCTGGACACAACTCTGATTTCTTACATCAATGTGACTGTGACTTGTAAGTAGACAGCACTAATATTTCACTATAATATATTGGAAAAGTAGCCATACTTTTATTTAAAGGTTTAATAAAGTGTTCCAAAATTTAGAGTGTGATGTCCCTTCAACTTTTGAATTGTTAAAAGAGAAATAGAGGTGAATTGGTAAATTGAAAGAGAGATAACATAGATGATCTTATTATGACCCTTCATCAATACAAAATATCATATCATCAAAAGTCCACATTAATTAAAACACTTCCTAAAATGTTTAGACCAAATTATGACTCCCTTACCAGCATATGTAAGTACTAAACACTACCCCAAGGAAACTTATTATCGATTGATTTGCCACTGTATTAAAAAATGGATTTTAATTGCATTAATGTTATTAATGACATTACTAACTATTATTCCCAAGGACATTCCCTCTTTTAGTGTTTTGATGTGAATAATACTGAGCAGTATGAGGAACAAGGAAACTTAAACCATGCCAACAAAAACATGCTCCCTATTTTACTTGAGAATGGTCAGACATCATCTTATCGAAAGATATTCCCACTTTCTGTGTTTAGGTATCTTGAATAATTATTTTGTTTCCCTCCATACTGTAAATAACGAGGACATTGGTGTCCCTCACTGCATCATCAAGGCAAAAATAAAGCCGAAACATGCTAGCCAAAATGCCCCCTACATGGAAAAAGTATTGTACAAAATCACTGTCTGTGTCAAAGGTTTTGTCATCCATTAGAATATTCCAATATTTTTGTTTTAGCCATTTCATCCTTCTTTATCTTAAATAAATTACTAAAATCTGTTCCACAGATTTAAGGCAACCTCTTATCATTGGGAATACAACTGTTAAAGAGGGAGATGTTCTGAATTTGACCTGCAGTGTGGAAAGTATCCCTCCAGCTCTTATTGTGTGGAAAAAACCTATCTCCAACACAAACCTTCATATTGGAACTTACACTGATCTGCACAATAACACTGGATCAGCTACACTTGTCATCCAGAATGTGACAGCAGAAGATTCTGGACAGTACATCTGTACAGCAAAACATCTGGACACAACTCTGACCTTATATGTTGATGTGACTGTGACTTGTAAGTAGACAGTACCAATCTTCTACTATATTTAGTTCAGCTGTGTTCTCACCTGTTTCCATTCATTGTCAATATGCAGTGTATTTAAGCCCTCAGTTTCCCTCAGTTTCTTGTCTCGTCATTGCCTATTCCTTATGTGTGTTGTTAGTTCAGTCCACTTAATCAGTTTAGTTCAACCTTTCATGTTCTGTTCATCCCATCTTTATAATAAACACCATGCCCATAGTCAGTCAGTATGTGTGTCCTGCATTTGGGTACTCTCTTTCCATTCCCAAACACCTGACTCTCAAGAAAGCGTTCCATAGCACAGAGTGTGATTTGCCTTCAATGTTTGAATTGGGAAAAGAGAAATACAAGTGAATTGAAATCTAATTATGGATGAGATACCAATATTACTTCTATTCCCAAGGATATTCCCTCTTTTAGTGTTGGGATGTGAATCATGGACAGCAGTATGAGGAACAAGGAAACTTAGTCTTTCATGATTCTTTAAAGGTTATCTTGAATAATTCTTTTTTCGCCCTCCATATTATAAATTGCTGAATTCTGTTCCACAGATAAAAGGAGACCACTGATAACTGGGAATACAACTCTTAATGAGGGAGATGTTCTGAATTTGACCTGCAGTGTTGAAAGTATCCCTTCAGCTCTTATTGGGTGGAAAAAAGTTAGTGACAACACAAATCTTCAGAGTGGAATTCACACTAATTTGCACAATGACACTGGATCAGCAACACTTTTCATCCCAAATGTGACAGCAAAAGATTCTGGACAGTACATCTGTGCTGCAAAACATCTGGACACAATTGTGACCGTAAATGTCAGTGTGACTGTGACTTGTAAGTAGACAGCACTAATCTTGAATCTGAAATTCATATTCATGCCAAACTCACAATTTACTTTTTTTTTATGATCTGGCATTTCTTTTTACAGGGCTATCAAATATTCAAAATGGTTCAGGATGTGTGCTTCACTCACAGATCTTGACCTGTGTGTGTATTATTGAAGGGTTTCCTTTACCTACCATCCAGTGGTTGCCCCTCAAGAACAACACTGAGTACTCTGTCATTACTGCTGTGTCAAATGACACAGTCAACAGCACTGTCAGCCTAAATGTAGAAAAGCATGGCAACATCACTCTTGAATGTGTCAGCAACAATGGAAATGAAGAAGCTAAAGAAAAATTCACAATCCACAACAACTCTAAAAAATATGGTATATGTTTTCAAATAAACAATTTTTGACCGCAACAATTATTTTTTTAGTAACACATAAGAAAACATTTAACTTGTGCAAAATATATTAGGTAAAAATGTGCTTTTTTTCCATGTTGTTCCTTTGAGTGCAGAGCAACCGTTAGATTTAAGCAAGGGATACCTAAAAGTCATCGTTGCCTTTTTGATTGGGACACTTCTTACAGCAGTTGTTTGCTTTTTGGCCAAAAAGTATTACAGGTACGGCATTTACTTTTGTAATTATTATTAGGTTTTCTCTGTAAATAAGGCTGAACATGAATTTGCTTCTTAAAAAATATAATTCTCAGAAAAAAACAGAAGAGCTCTGGAAACCTTCATGAGACTTTGGAGATGGACAGACGTCAAGATGATCCACAGGTAGTGATGTTCATGTGGCATTTTTTTAAATATAACTGGTAATATATGAGTTTTTGCTCACATGTCTAGAATGCTGAAGTGGCCATATTTACACTTTATTGATTAATATTTCGTAATTGTTTTTTGAACTACTAAAAGTCTGCAAAGTTGCAAAGATCCAAAGCTTTTGAAATTAAAAACATTAAAACCAATTTGAAACCATTAAACAAGTACTGTATGTGGATTATAGTGAAGTTTTAACTTTTTAAGCATTGAAAGAAGTTTCATTTAAAAACTGTAAAAAAGGTTTCTACAATTTGAAAGGAAATGGGCCATTTTCATTCCACAATGAACTGATTTCTTTTACATACCCACCATTTGTCTGTCCGCCAAGTTTAGTTCAAATTGAGAAAGTTAATTTGTGCATAATTTCACTAACAGATTAACTGAAAACATATGCGTTAGAAGAGAAATAACTGCTCATAATGCCAGTTATTTTGCAAGTGTTAAAGCCTGAAAACATTTTTATGAATTGTGTTGGGATTCAGTTTGAAATGTGTATGGTCAAACTATAACGTTTTGTTACC